CAGTTGATAAAAGATATATATATATACTAGCTGTACCCGCGGGCTTTGCCCCGCTTAACTTCATAAGTATTCGCATGGCTCAATCACGTCCTGGTAGAAGTTCGTTCGCTACGCTCACTCACCTTCAGGTTGGAAATCGTTCGCTGCGCTCACTTGTTTTCAGGTTAGCTCGTTCGCTACGCTTACTCGCCTCCAGGTTGATGTTCGTTCGCTACGCTCACTCACCTTTTGGTTGCAAATTAGCTGTTGTCATAAATTTTAAAAAGTCATCCCTTTTATTGTTATAATACTTTGACAAAGGTTTTTATGTTTTAATATTGTTTAACATTGGAGAATTTAAACGTTGTTAAGTGCACAGGTGTGCTGCGATTGGGGTTTAATACATTTGGACTTATTCAAAAGTAAAATAGTTTTCTGTGCTGCAATCTGTAGAAACACTGTGGCACTATTTCAAATCATGACTAATGCTAATACAGAATGTTGTAGTTATTCAAACGTACAAAACAGTTGGTGAAAGTAAACATCTGCTTTTAAATTATATCTATATATAAAGTCAAAAGTACCCATGAACTTTTGAGAAAACTACAAGTCACACCCCCATAAACCATATACTTAAAATGTTCGTCATGACGAGAAACCTTGTGCAAAATTATTCATTATTTCATAAACTGCCCTATAAGGTCGTAATTGCTTTCCAAAGGGAACTTTCCATTTACCTAATGTTAAAAATACCTCAGCTGTTATTATTTGTTTGCATTACCATTACTGTATTCTGTTTTGTTTATTTGATCTTAACTTAACCAATCAATAGTTTTATTAATACTAATGTAGTAAAACGGGGTGGAGCCCGTGGGTAACAGCTAGTTTATTTGTAAATATTCTAGATCAAAAAGTCTGACATTGGCCCACCTAAAACCCTCTGGGGCAGAGCCCTTTTGACGGATCTGCACCAAACTTCACTCGAACCATCCTTGAAAGATGCTTAATAATGCCTGAAAGTTTCATTACAATCTGTCGAGCGGTTTTGGAGTCCATAACATATATACACATATATATACATACATAGTTCCTCTTTTATAGATACGAGGTGTTAGCCCGTCCTACGTACGGGAATTCAGTAGTCAGTTAAAACCGTGTACAATTCAGATCAGCTAGTTTACACATAAAGACAAAGTTTCTTACAGTTTTAATGTGAAAAATCATCTTGTAAACAAATGTTGTGTGACCAAATATGTTTTTATTCCATCAATATATATACCTGATACGGCCTATACGATATGCATTTTAAATCCGATAATTTTACAATAAAACAGCAATTCTGCAATTTTTACGATGTGAAAAGCGTTTAACCCTCCAAGTGTCCATAGTTTAGGCCTTAATGTCCACCTATTTTTGGCGCATTTGCAAGGTTTTATTAAAACAGATCTGAGAAGCTTAAAACAATGTTAATTCTAATGTTCTATATACCATTTTGTTTGGAAAATCATGGGCTTCAATATCATACATAAAACATAAGGAATATTTGTTTCAAAAAATTTATTTAGGTAAAAAAAAATTATTTTGGAAAAATTGAAAAAAAAAAATAAGTTTGCGCTCAATGAAATTGTATAAATTATAGGCCTATAAATATTTGAAAATAGCCACTTTGTTCTAAATTTTATGAGGATTACAAATATATAATAATATAAGGAAGTAGATTTGCAAATAAATAAGTTATGGGCAAAAAACTGATTTCAGTACATAGCGTTTAGCTAAGAATGCATAGCCTAACCATAGCTAGGAATCTGGCTGATAATTTACATCAATATCACTACCTACTTCTTCAGGATCATCAACCAGCACTTCAAAATCACTTAAATCTTCTTATAATGCACCACGTATATCACTACTTTTGATTTTTAACACTAAAACAATGATAAACGTAATAAAACACATCAGTCATCGGTCCGAGGGTAACCTAGCTGTTTACAAATACACGCACGTCAGCAGCGTCAGCTGTCTGCTACAATATTTTCAGAACTAAAATGAATAGCGCTTAGAGACAGACCTCTGGAGAAAGCTTAGAATATTACGGAAAGAACGATACCTAACTCGATCCAGTTCAATCCGATTCAGTCAGTCATAGAGCCTTCGCCGTAAACGATGTCTGCGTGTCGAAAAATCGACAAGTAACACTACACAAAGTGTGCTGCTTGTCGAATTTTCGTCAAGTAACACTGGGAGGGTTAAGTGAGGCAGCCGATTCGCACAGACGCACACTGATTATAAGTAGCCTACAGTCACAGAATAGTAGTATGTTTTCTGTGCTACAGTAGAGAGAGTAATAGGGGAGTATGTTTGATCTATGGTAATAGTCAATTGAGAAGTCTATAGACCTAGTCAACGATACTACCTTCCATAGCATACCTGCCTCTTCATTATTATCACCACAATACAACTACTATACACAATTTCCAGTAGGTCTGAATATAAACGACCTAAAATAAAACGATAATATCCAATAAAATTCACAGTACACATAATTTAACTTTGGTGTCCTAACATCAAAACTAATCGTAACAACTATCCTCAATTTCACTGCAATAATTGCTAAATAAATAAGTGTAAACAAATAAAAGTAAAAACAATAACAGTTTGTTTTGAAACAGCTGTTTGGTTCAAAAAACATTCATTTGAATAAAAACTGGTCACATGTAGCAGTAATATAAATACCCCCGCCGCAGCAAACCTGCAGACTAAGCGAATTTCCATATGTCTAATTGGATTTACACTAAAATGTCTACTTACAAATTAACATTTATTTCCTATTTAAATAGAATTAGTTTAACAGGTACTTAGGTTTGCTGCATCAGGGAGGGTAAAACTGTTTTTTTTTTTTTTTGTAAAATGTTAATAAAGCTAATGACGTAATTGTCAATGTTTATTATCCATACCGTTATCAGTTCTATCCTTGATAATTATCTACCCTCATTGAATGTACATCGTACTTTCCCATATTAGTTAATTTAGACTACAATATAATTATAGTTAAAATAAAAGTATTTTCACGTTTGGGGGCGCTGATATAGGCGTTGTGTTCAATCTATGTCATCCATCTGTTTATCTTTGTATAAAACCCGACTAAGGTTGTGGTGGTAATTTAAAATCGTGATTCCTGATTATTCTTGATCTTCTTTTTGTGACATCAATATTTGCGGGCCTAATCCAAACAATGTTTAAGCAGACAAACATTGTAAACAAAAAGCTACCATGAAGAATTAAAACAGGTAAACATTGTTATTTTTCTAATCTTTCCTTGAAAAGTGGAGCAGTAAAATAATTTGCATTTATCCTTTTTTATTTAAGACTCGTGTAAGCCTCGATGTGTACTGTGGTTTAATTAATTTTGGTGTAAACTATTTTAAACTGTGGTCTAATTATCTTTACTAATCTTACTTATTTACTATAATCAATGACAAAATAAGAGTAAATAAAATAACCTCATAGTTCCATAGTTTATAATTTAACCAGCTGTTAGTTAAAAAAAATTATATTGCTCTAAAACAAATCGAAGATTACAAAGATTGCTTTAAAAATAATTTGAACATCCTACTATGTATACTTAATTGATCTGTCATCCTCTTACAGAAGAATTAAACGTATCAATGATTAGCATTACACATAGTATAAATAAGTCAACCCTAAGTATGTCTTTACATTTTTATCCATATGCCGAATTTGTGACACAAAAGCTGAATGTTTACAGCTGTTATGTTAAGCAAATTATTTTATGCCAAAAGCTAGTTTTGAATCTTAGCGTCGGCTGCTAGACTTTTTAAAAATTAAAACACAATTTCTAAAAAACTGGGACTCTAAACTAAAATTATGGCTTCGACATTCCCTAGTTCCCAAAATTATCTTTCTTTCAACACAAAAATCACGAAAATCCGTCGAGTGGTTGATTCAGAATCGTGAAATAAAAAAACACTGTTTCGTTTTAATATTATAGATAGATATGTAAAATTCTGTAAAGAATAACAGCAACTTAAATCAACAAAAGACACAACTTGTATTATACTATGACTTAACAATAACAATAAATAAGAGTTTTCTAAAAACGTTAACTACTTGGTCATATACCATTTTTTCAGTTTTACCTTCAATAATTTGTATGTTTTTATTTCTTTCATACATTGTGGCAAACTATTAAACAATGTAGGAACCAAATAGGAACCAAATTATAAGAAGTTGTTTCCAGCTCCGACGTTTTTTACAGCTCTAATTTATGTTTTTGAATTCAATTCAAATATTTTTGTAGATAATATATCTAGTAGGTTCGTTTACTGTATTGAATTTTGGTTTTTGAAATACATACAAAAGTCAAAGTTTAACATATAAAAGCCATAAACTGTGAGGATTTTTATTTGTTTGCATAATATTTTCCCCTGAATCATTCTAGTTTATTTGTGATATAGTTCTGATGGCTTGCTTCTGTATTCAAACAATTTTGTTTGGATTTTTTTTAAGGTTGCTTTATACACGAGGGCCTTTTGTATATAAAGCATGTTAGTTGAGTGGAGCGAGCGAATTTCTGAGATCGGACCTAATGCAAAACTATGTAATTAAACCACTCAATAACGGCTGAACATATTGAATACAATACAATAGAATATTCTTTATTGTTAATTCCTCAATTATTACAATAGTATCAATACATAGGAAATTGTACATATTAATTTCCAGAATGTTCATAAAATTCCTTTATTGCAAAAGAATGGCCTTAATAGATTAATAGGTTACGAGTGTTTAATAAGGTATGATATTTTTCAGGAGTGAAGATATATGACTTCAGACATAAGAAAAGATAATTTAATTTAAGCATAAGAAAACTAATTAATGTTATCCCTGAAGTAATAATTTGAGGAATCACTCTTAACGATGTTTTTCTCCCTCACAAATTAAATTTAGTAATTCATTTGTTTATACTAGAATTTAAATTATATTGAACATTTTTGTTGTAGGTTGAGACAGTAAAAGGAATTGAAGCAACAGATTATGTTGATTTAAGAATTAATATAATACAATAGAAAAATATAGAAAGACAAAGACAAAGAAAAAGGTAAAGCCCTGTGCATAGTAAGATTTGACTACAAGACGATTCAATGTTGAATGAGAGATGAAGTCTATCATGTAATTGCTATACATTTAACAAGTCCTACCTACAAACAAGATTACTTTATAGAATGCATTCAAATCCATCTGATTTGTTGAGTTTATTGATTAGTTACTAGATTTATGTGATAAGTTAAACGGAAATAAAAAGTGCAAGAGTAGAAATGTTAACACAGACTAAACATTTTCCCCTCAAGTGTCCAATATGTGAGCAACGCTGTTCAACTCTATACGCAATGAAGGTTCATGTATTATATCACACAGGAGAGCGTCCCTTCAAATGTTTGATATGTGGAAAAACTTTTCTCAAACAGCAGCAAGTAAAGAGGCATTTATTGGTTCATACAGGGGAGAGGCCTTACAAGTGCTCTACATGTGGAAAATCCTTTGCAAACAAAATCAACATGAAGACACATTCATTGATTCATACAGGAGAGAGACCTTATAAGTGCACTTCATGTGAAAAATCCTTTACAACCAAAAAGAAATTGCAGAGACATTCATTGGTTCATATAGGAAAGAGTCCTTACGAGTGTGCTACATGTGGAAAGTTCTTTTCAACAAAAAGCAATATGAAGAAACACACATTGGTTCATACAGGGGATAGACCTTATAAGTGCACTTCTTGTGAAAAATCCTTTACATCTAAAAGCAACATGATGAGACATTCATTAGTGCATGTAGGAGAGAGACCTTTTAAGTGCACTATATGTGAAAAATCCTTTACAACCAAAGACAAATTAAAGAGACATTCATTGGTTCATATAGAAGAGAGACATTTTAAGTGCACTACATGTGAAAAATCCTTTACAACCAAAGACAAATTGAAGAGACATTCATTGGTTCATACAGGGAAGAGACCTTAAAAGTGCTCTACATGTGGAAAATCCTTTGCAAACAAAATCAACATGAAGACACATTCATTGGTTCATACAGGAGAGAAACCTTATAAGTGCTCTACATGTGGAAAATCCTTTGCAAACAAAATCAACATGAAGACACATTCATTGGTTCATACAGGAGAGAAACCTTATAAGTGCTCTACATGTGGAAAATCCTTTGCAAACAAAATCAACATGAAGACACATTCATTGGTTCATACAGGGCAGAGGCCTTACAAGTGCTCTACATGTGGAAAATCCTTTACAACCAAAGACATATTGAAGAGACATTCATTTGTTCATACAGGGGAGAGACTTTAAAAGTGCCCTACATGTGAAAAATCTTTTGCATTAAAAAGCTGTATCAGAACACATATTACAGGGGTTCACACAGTAGAGAGACTCAGAGACTCTAAAGTGCAGTAGGTGTTTGCAGCAACCTTTTTCTTCCAAAAACATATGAAGGTACAGTACATACAATTTGGATACTGAAGATAGACCTTGTAAGTGCACTACAAAAATATACATGTGGAAATCCTTTTCATGAAAAACTAAATTAAGGAACATTAAGGACAAATATTTAGCATTCAAAATCATTTTAATATAAATTTTAATTTATCTGAGTGACCTACAAGAAAATAGTTATAAGAATTTTATTCTCACTTAATTTTAAACACATTTTCAAATCCTCCAGAGATTAAAGGAAGAAATCTATAAGGTATTACTTAAATATTTTTTAGAATATTAATTTTGTCTGTGATTTTAATTTTTGAAGGGATAAAATATAATAAGTTGTTCCAGATCTGCCATGGTTTTTACAGCTCTAAACTTAATTTATGTTTTTGAATTCAATATAAATATTTTTGTAGATAATATATCTATGAATATAGTAGGTTCGTTTACTATATTGAATTGTATGAGTTCCCCCCCCCCTACTTTTTTCTACATTTCTTAAGATATCAACTCCGGACCACGTCAGATCATTGTAAAGTAGTAAGTACTTCATTTTGACTGGGTATAAATTTGTGGCCGCCATCTTGGATCCGCCATATTGGATACAAAGTTTTTTTTTTCAAATGTAAGAGTTGTTTTCAAAGGTAGAGTTGTGACCCATTATTCCAAACTAAAATTTTACGCTGATTACAATGCTGCAAATAGTTTTTAAAAATCTTGATCGGTTCTAAAGCTATAAGGACTTTTTATAACTTTATTTTTAGCCCATTTTAACATTGTGCATTTACAAACTAAGACCATAATCTCAAAATAGTGCTAGATAAAGATAAATATACACCACCATTCATTGTCGACCCATTTTCACTTGGTTGATGGATGTCTTTTTTTCGGTGGCCATCTTGGATCCGCCATTTTGAAATGTGACAAATTAATTTAAATATGAAGGAGGTTTTGTGATAGAAGCCAAAAACACCATTTGTCCGAATTCATATATACGTCCGTTAGCACAATAACTCGAGCTAGAATGATCCGATTTTGATTAAATCTGGCACAAACATGTAGGTAATCCTATGTTTATTCAAACGAGTTTGCAAACTACAGTATTATAATCGGACTATGGAAACAGGGGTTTATGGGAATAAAAATTGGTTTTCCCGATTTTGACCCTAAAAACATAAAATTTTGCATTAACTTATCTATCCAAACCATTTTGTAGAGCATAAAAAAAAACAAATAATTTAGTTTATTAAAGCATTCGCTGTATGTGTGACAGTTACAGAGGGAAAAAATACCCCCGCCGCAGCAAACCTGCAAACTAAGCGAATTTCCATTTGCCTGATTGGATTTACCCTAAAAACGTCTCCTTAAAAATATCACATTTATTCCCTATTTAAATAACATTAGTTTAACGAGTACTTACGTTTGCTGCTTAGGGAGGGTAAAAAGGTGTTTTTTTTGTAAAATGTTAATATTTTAGTATGGAATGAATGCATTTTCCAATATGATCTTAAACAAGCAAACTACAACAGTTTTCTTATTCACCATAAGAATAACATGGGAATTTTAAATTTATCGTTTTTTTTTATTTTCTCCGTAACCATTAGGCTCATAATAACGCTTCAATATACTAAATTATTTCTTTTTTTAAGCTCTACAAAATGGTTTGGAAAGGAAATGCTAAATTTTAAGTTTTTATTGTCAAAAATGGGAAAAACCAGTTTTTGCCCCATAAAACCCCCCATAAACCCCTGTTCCCATAGTCCGATCATAATGGTTCACGAACTCGTCCGAATAAACGTAGGTTTACACGTTTGTACCAAATTACATCAAAATCAGATGATCATCAAGATCATTTTTGCTCGAGTTATCGCGCTAATGGACACATATATAAATATATTTTTTTATAGTTCTGTTTACTTTTTAGGGCTACTTTTTCAATTAATAAGCGAAATAATAAAAACCAGAGTACCCTGAAATTCATTTTTATTTAAACTGATACGTATTTCGGCACTAAGGCCATGATCACAGTATGAGCTATATAAAAGTATGTAAACAAATAAAATATAAATAAATAGTTAATAACATATGTTTTGAATTCATATAAAATTTTGATTAAATGGTTCGGTGTATTTTTTATCATGTAAATGAGCAAGATTCTTCCCTGATTTGTCTGATTTTTTTATGTATTGGATTTCGCTTTTGTAATATTCCCTATATGGGAAATTCGCTAAAAGGGTAAATTAAAATTCCCAAGTTATTCTTATGGAGAAAAATAAAAATGTATTTTCCTTTTATATGTATATATTTTAATTAAATTTGCAAATTTGTTGTTTATTTTATACAACACTATCAACATTTCAATAAAAAAACACCTTTTTACCTTCCCTGTAACAGCAAACTTAAAATACTCATCTAGGCTAAATAAAGCCAAGAAGAATCTGAACTTTTGAGAAAACCATAAGCCACACCTATAAACTGCATACTTGAATGAAAGGTCTTTCTGAAAGGTGATACTTCCCCGTAGATCACACACAAGAAAAGATAATCTAATTTAAGTGTAAGAATACTTTTTTTTTAGGGTGAGGAGGGAAAATGCTTTTACCCACACAGGTAGCCAGCCTGTAGTGTGAGACTCCTGAATTTATCAGACTACTCACTAAAAAACCCCCTCTGCTCTGTTGGACACAGACCTGGGATTGTTTGTCACATTACGAGAGACCATGTTCTGCCATCCATGCGTTAATGGTGCGCATGACTCAATTTAGTTTTAGCTGGGCAAGTTCAATGCTACGTGCAGCTATTAAAGCCGCAACGTCATCTGCATACCCAGCTAAGACAGTTTCCTCAGGCATCTCGGATCTCAAGAGGCTGTCGTAGGCGACGTTCCAGAGGTTCGGGCCCAGTATGGATCCTTGAGCAGCACCAGTAGTTACATCCATTGTCCTGGGGCCTTCTGTAGTGTCATAAATGATGAAGCGGTACCAGAGGTAGTCCTCTATCATGAGGTATGCCGGGAAGTGGAAAGTGTTCTCCAGAGCGTCCAGCATATCGCACCACCTCGCGGAGTTAAATGCATTTCGCACATCGAGCGTTACAAGCAGCACAACCCCACGAGAATAGTTGTTAAACTCCTCAGCTCTCATTACGGCTCGCTTTGACGCTTTACCTCCTCAATAGCGTCAACCGTTGACCGTCCCTTCCTGAAACCGTACTGACGAGGGGACAGATTTCCTGCAGCAACCACGGCTGAATTCAGTCGGGAACGGATCAACTTGCGAACTCCCGCAATTGGCGCAGCGTGTGAGTCATGAAAAGGGACTTTAAAATCCTCTCCATAGAGGCCCCGTCCCTAACGGAAGGTGGAGAGCGGGTGCCAAGCTTCTTGGTTAGCGTAAGAATACTAATTAAGGTTATCCCTGAAGTAATAATTTGACGGATCACTCTTAACATGTGTTCCCCAATCACAAATTAAATTTAGTAATTTACTAGCTGTGTACCCGTTCTACGTCCAGGGATCTTATAGTATTCATTTGAAACCTATAAAGAACAGCAGTCGGCTTGCATATTTTCAGATATCCTGGCCAAACTATTATACATAACTTCATTTTATGTTGTTTGTTGTTGTTCCGGATCAGTATGACAATCAATAAAAGGTTAAATTACCTGTGTCCGCCGTTCAATCCTAATGTATCCTATTACAGGAGATGCATTTCGGCGAAATTAAATCTCCATTATCAGTCCTAATATAAGGTCTTGAGCTTCCCCATTAGGTGCGTCTTGGAGTTTTTGAAACACATACACAAACTGTACACTTGAACACATGACGAATAAATCATAAATACACGGTAGGCCTACTTTTATTTTTACTATGGACATGTAGACGCGTGTCGGTCATGTGCCGAGTCTTGACTGAAAACGCTCATTTAAAAAATGTAAGTTTCCCAGCCATATACATCACTGATTCAAGGTCTTTTTCCCGGTTATCAAAACTTAAAACAATTAATTTTATACAGAAAGAATCTCTATTTTCATTTACGGTTACCCTACAAATTATTGCACTTGCAATTAATTAAATTTGTTATGTAAGGAAAAACGTTTTTAATCTTACTTGGTTTGGATTTGCTTTCAAAACGTGATCGGAAATGGTTGCGGTGTTTGTAAACAACATTCAATGTAAACATATAAGTGACAGCTAGAAGAAATAATCTTGATTTGAACAACTGTTCGTTATTTCATAGAAGAATATGTGCTAAACATTGGGAGAAAACTTTACAAAAATCGCACAAAATTGGGTTTTTAAACGTCATTTTATTTACAAAGTGGTGACACCATATTTTAATGGCTAAAGACAATCTCGCCAATCCAGTAAATACATTAAAATGACTTGGAACTTGATAGGTACTCTTTGTTTTCAGAAAAAGCCCGCGTAAAATGGCTCTTGGGCCGTGACAGACAGGAAGACAGACAGACAGACAGAAATTTAGATGAGACTTGTTTCGGTTTCTTGAATGAATAAAACGTAAAAATAACCTAAAAGTTTATGATTCCGAGCAATGTACAGACAAAACTCTAATTTTATTTACAGTATATAGATTTGTTTATACTAGAACTGAAATTACATTGAACATTTTTGTTGTAGGTTGAAACAGTAAAAGGAATTAAAACAGCAGATTCTATTGATTTACGAATTAATATAATACAATAGAAGAATATAGAAAGACAAGAAAAAAGGAAAATCCCTGTGCATAGCAAGATTTGACTACAAGACGATACAATGTTGAATGAGAGATGAAGTCTATCATGTAACTGCTATACATTTAACAAGTCCTTCAAACAAGATTACTTTATAGAATGCATTCAAATCCATCTGATTTGTTGAGTTTATTGATAAGTTACTAGATTTATGTGATAAGTTACACGGAAATAAAAAGTGTAAGAGTGGAAATGTTAACTCAGACTAAACATTTTCCTCTCAAGTGTCCAATATGTGTGCAATGCTGTTCAACTCTATCTACAATGAAGGTTCATATATTATATCACACAGGAGAGCGTCCCTTCAAATGTTTGATATGTGAAAAAACCTTTTTCCAACAAAATCACGTAAAGAGGCATTCATTGGTTCATACAGGAGAGAGGACTTACAAGTGCTCTACATGTGAAAAATCATTTAAAACCAAAGGCGATATGAAGAGACATTCATTGGTTCATACAGGGGAGAGACCTTACAAGTGCTCTACATGTGGAAAATCATTAAAAACCAAAGGTGAATTGAAGAAACATTCATTGGTTCATACAAGGGAGAGACCTTACCAGTGCAGTACATGTGATAAATCATTTAAAACCAAAGGCGATATGAAGAGACATTCATTAGTTCATACAGGGGAGAGACCTTACAAGTGCTCTACATGTGGCAAATCATTAAAAACCAAAGGTGAATTGAAGATACATTCATTGGTTCATACAAGGGAGAGACCTTACCAGTGCACTACATGCGAAAAATCATTTAAAATCAAAGGCGATATGAAGAGACATTCATTGGTTCATACAGGGGAGAGACCTCACAAGTGCTCTACATGTGGACAATCATTAAAAACTAAAGGCGATTTGAAGAGACATTCATTGGTTCATACAGGGGAGAGACCTCACAAGTGCTCTACATGTGGACAATCATTAAAAACTAAAGGCGATTTGAAGAGACATTCATTGGTTCATACAGGAAAGAGACCTTACAAGTGCACTACATGTGGAAAGTTTTTTTCAACAAAAAGCCATATGAAGATACACACCTTGGTTCACACAGGGGATAGACCTTATAAGTGCACTTCATGTGAAAAATCCTTTACATCTAAAGGCAACATGATGAGACATTCATTAGTGCATATAGGAGAGAGACCTTTTAAGTGCACTACATGTGAAAAATCCTGTACAACCAAAGACAAATTGAAGAGACATTCATTGGTTTGTATAGGAAAGAGACATTTTAAGTGCACTACATGTGAATAATCCTTTACAACCAAAGACAAATTGAAGAGACATTCATTGGTTTATATAGGAAAGAGACATTTTAAGTGCTCTACATGTGAAAAATCATTAAAAACCAAAGGCGATATATAGAGACATTCATTTGTATATACAGGGGAAAGACATTACAAGCGCACTACATGTAAAAAATCATTTTCATTCGTTTATACAGGAGAGAGACATTACAAGTGCACTACATGTGGAAAATCATGAAAAACCAAAGGCGATGTGAAGAGACATTATTGGTTCATACAGGGGAGAGACCTTACGAGTGTGCTACATGCGGAAAGTTCTTTTCAACAAAAAGCAATATGAAGAAACACACCTTGGTTCACACAGGAGAGAGACCTTTTAAGTGCATTACATGCGAAAAATTGTTTGCATTAAAAAGCCGTATCAGAACACATATTACAAGGGTTCATACAGTAGATACACTCAGATACTTTAAAGTGCAGTAGGTAAAAACCTTTTTCCTTCAAAAAACATATCAAGGTACAGTACATACGGTTTGGATACTGATGATATACCTTCTAAGTGCACTAAAAATATACATGTAAAAATCATTTCCATGAAAAACTAAATTAAGGAACATTAAGGACAAATATTTAGCATTCAAAATCATTTTATAATATACATTTTAATCAATCTTGAGTGACCTACAAGTAAATAGTTATAAGAATTTTTATTCTCACTTAATTTTAAACACATTTTAAAATCCTCTAGAGATTATAGGAAGAAATCTATAAGGTATTTCTTAGATTGTTTTAGAATATTAATTTTGTCTGTGATTTTATGGTTTTGAATAAAATATAATTTTTTGTAGATATTATAGCTATGAAATAGTAGGTTTGTTGACTGTATTGAATGTTAGTTTTTGACAAACATTAAGTTTAACATACAAAAGCGACCGGTATTTGTATTTGTTTGCATCATTTTTTTCCCTGAATCATTCTAGTTTATTAGTTCTGATAGCTTGCTTCCGTATTAAAAAAAAATTGTTTGGATTTTTTTTAAGTTGCTTTATATACAAGATCCTTTTGTATATAAAGCTTCTTAGTTGAGCGGAGCGAGTGAAGGTCTGAGATCAGACCTAATGCAAAACTATGTAACTAAACCACTCAATAATGGCTAAAAATATTGAATACAATACAATACTTATACAATATTCTTTATTGTTAATTTGTCAAGAATTACAATAGTGTCAATACAATAGTAAATTGTGCTTGTTAATTTCCAGAATGTTAATAAAATTCCTTTATTGAGTAGAAAGGTCTTGCAATCAGCCACTTCTTTAACTCCCGGTGTACCTTTTTGCCAGTCAGGTCTCTCAGGAAGTCAGGTAGATGGTTCCTCAGTTTGCGGCCGGTGTAGGAAGGTTTTTTCTCCCAAGAGTTCTTCGGTGGACTGGTAGGTCAAATTTGGAGCCATGATGGATGTTGTAGTGGTGCAGGTTCAAACTTTGAAGCCAAACTTTCCAGGGTTATTTTGACAAAGATTTCAGTAGCGTAACAAAAGGCTTTACAGGGCCAGCAACACTGTTGGGGGGGGGGGGGGGGGGGAGGAGGCCCACAAACCGGTGAGCAGGAAACAGCAAGCGGAAACTGGTGTGCAGAGAGGCCTGTGAGACGATTGGGGCGGAAAAATTGGAGTTCATTCTTATTGAAATGTATTATCAATCATTCAAAAATTGTATTGAACAAGTAATAACATTAATGGTATTAATAATATGTTATTAACATTTGATTTTGTTTGGCCTATTCAGTGATAACGTCGATAACAAACTAAGGTAACAAATTTAAAGTTTTATATCGTGGGTCTTTGATTATTATGCAATCTTATTTTTGTCACAGAGAAGTATTTTACTTTTCCGCGCTTTACTACACTGCTCATTTCTGCAAACATTTTGAAACATTTGACATGGAGCCTGGAGTCATGAACCCTCCATGAATTGTGGCTTTAAATATTGTATTATTTTACATTTTAGTTTTATCCTTATATTAAATGTATGTAGAACCTCTTAAATCCAAACTAATTGGGACTGTGGGTAGTTCGGACTACAGATCATTGCTGTTTTTACATAACAATTTTTACATAAACAAATAATTTAGTATATCAAAGTGATTTTGTTATTGGTAATGAAGAAATTTCAATAAATTGTATATTTAAAATTTCCATGTTATTTTCATAGAGAATATTGTAAAATGTTTGTTTTTTTATGAATATATTTTGATCAAACTTGGCAAATTTCGCTACGCTAACTCGCCTCCAGGTTGAAGTTCGTTCGCTACTCTCACTCACCTTTTGGTTGCAAATTAGCTGTTGTAATAAATGTAAAAGAAATAATAGTGCTGCACCCTGTTGGTAATCCTTGTAACTTCAATGCTATTGAACATCATAGAACAGAACCAACTTGTTTAGTTGAAACAGCTGTTAAGATTCAATAATTCCATTTCTCATAAGGTTAACATGGGAAACTCCACAGCCACTGGGGCGGAGCCCGAAAGGATTTTTGAAATAAGAATATGCCTATATGTTAATCGGGAATGTGAGCTATCATCATGCCAAATTTCAGCCCAATCCGACCAGTATTTTTCACGTTCACTTGTCACAAACATACATCCATACATCCAAACTCAGGGTGTCCACATTCTGGAAAGTCAGGGATAGTCATGGAAAGTCATGGAAAAAAATTCTGGTCATTGAAAGTCATGGAAATAGACAAAAAGTCATGGAAATCACCAATGATGGATGGATTTCAGGGGTCCTTTCAATGATCTAGTCGGCCGTAACCCCGACTATTGTAGCATTTTTCCGGATTTTTCACAAATATACGACAATTCAATTTATGCAGTTGTCTTAGTTTATGGGTTTTGAGTTTGTATTTAGTTCAATGTTGTACCTGTTGTACGCCATTGTTATCTGTTAATAGTATTTCAATATTTTCTGTCTATAGGCAGTATTATTCGTGTGTTTACGGTATATTATAATTTTCTAGTAAAGTTCGTGGGTCATGGAAATCAATGGTTAATGGTCATGGATAGTCATGGAAATTCAGGGAAATTAATGACAAAATTTCTGTGGACACCCTGAAACTTTTCTCAATTATAATATTAGTAGGATTAAATTATTTCTTTTGCTAGTACAATATTCAATCAACATCAGTGCACATTAAATGTTCCATATGGAAATATGTTAGTAAAACTCGAATCAGAAAAGTTGAAATTTGCTTAGTCTGCAGGTTTGCTGCGGCAGGGGTATTTCGCAAATTTCACTTAGGGAATAAGCTATTACCTTAGGTTTCATAGAAAGATCTGGGCCTGGGACCGATTTACTTTTTCGTTTTGAGGTCATTGATAGAAGCCAAAAACACCATTTGTTCAAATTCATATACGTCCGTTAGCACTGTCGAGGTAAAATGATTCAATTTTGATTAAATCTGGTACATACATGTAATCCTATGTTTATTCGAACGAGTTTGCAAACTAGCATAATCCGACTATGGAAACAGGGGTTTATGGGAGTAAAAATTGGGTTTTCCCATTTTTGACCCTAATAACATAAAATTTTGCATTATCCATCCAAACCATTTTGTAGAGCATTTAGAGCATTAAAAAAACAAATAATTTAGTTTATTAAAGCATTGTTGTATGATTGACAGGTAAAATGAAAATAAAAAAGGGCAAATTAAAATTCCCATTTTATTCTTGTGGAGAAAATAAAAATTTTGTATTTTGATTTTTTATGTATATACTAGCAGAGTACCCGTCCTTCGTACGGGGTTGGCATATAAGTATAAAATGCTTATTGTAGTTATACTCGAGCTTTGCGTTTGCAATGAGGGAGGACAAATAGTTTGATAACATTTGCTTCTTTAAATTTACAGTATTCTATAGTATTACACATCTACCATAACCATAATGTTCTACCACTTCACCTAAACAATAGAGAAGAATAAATTATCAAAAATTCGCAAAATATCACAAATTATTCATAAAATTAAAAACATAAACATAACTGTAAACAATCATACTTTGACAGCTAGTTCTCATTGCTTATCACAGTTTTGTATTGCTGCTTGGTTCAAATTAGCTGTTTTCATAAATGCAAAAAAATATAGTGGTGCACCCTGTTAGTAAATCTTATAACTTTTTAATGCTTTTGCATATCATAGAACCAACTTTTGAAGTTGAAACAGCTGACTAAATTCTTTAAGGGGATACGCCACTATCTCCAACTTTTTTTTTATTATTTTATTTTTGTCAACCTAGTTAGTATATTTTGTTTATACTAGACTTAGTTAGAAGATTTAGGTACAAAAATATTGAATTTATAACTTATTTACTAAATTTATATGCGTTTTTAGTTTTTTTCACCAAAATTTTTAAGAATTCGTTATTGAGAATAACTTTTCAACTACTGATCAGAATGACATATTCTATTTATTTCCTGATTCAGGATGAAATAATGAGTAATTCTGTGTATAATCGTTATGGTAACTAAAAAAACCAAATTTTTAGGACACATTTTATTCAAAATATAAAAAAGCTGAAAAAAATATTTAAAATTTTTGCGTAAACATAAATATTTTTAGTAAATGTAATGCTATAGGGCTTACTATACACACAATCCTTTATTACTATATAAAGAAGGTCTGGTGAAAATTTGAATACTATAAGTATAGTACTAACGGAGTTATTCAAACTTTTGTACAATAATAACCTAAAAAACACGGTATTGAGATAATCGCAGGTGATGTAACAGGTGGTTGGCAGGAGAAAAATTCCCATAACTACACTAATTTATTATTTTATATTATATATAAAAATAGCAAAGTACTTATTTTGTTTTACATAAATGTACCCTACTTTATACCTTCATAATACATAATTATGATACACAATTAAAAGTGTACATATCAGAAACAAAAAAAAATAGTTCAAAATTTTGTTAAATTGCTGGTTGCGGCGTTTTATATTTTATTTTTTTATACTAGAAGGAGTTGTCAGATTGGCAAACAATTTTAGCTAAATGTTCACATTTAAATGACCTATCTAAAAATGGAACTTTTGGAAAATGTAAAAAAAATTTAAAATATGGCCTACAGATAGTGGCGTATCCCCTTAATTCCCTTTAAATATGAACTAGTTGCTCTGCCCGTGCTTCGCTACGGGGTAAAAATGCAGAAAAGAATAATTTGGTTTTACTTTAAGATACTATAATATACTACCGTATAAGGAACAGTTAAAACACACTTACCAGGAAACATATATAGGCAAAGGCTCAATCGTACCTATTGATTATTTAAATGAATATCTCTTAATGTATTACAGTACCATCATTTTATATAGTGTATATCATTTAAAATATATGCAAAAGTATAACTTATTGACAACATGGCACCAAGAAACAATTCTCCTTGTAAACAAATTAAATTAAATAGCAGAACAGCATTTCTGACAACAGCTGGAGTTTCATAACAATGTTTGTTTCCCATGTTAATCTTATGGAGAAATACAAAACTTTAAAGGGCCCCAGGGCTTCACTCTCTATATTATTTCCATGAAAAGGAAGTTTCCTGCACAACTTCACGTTACGCTCTTTCCAATGACACCAAAAACATGTCAATCGGTTCAGTAGTTTCGGAGGAGTAATTGTCACAAAAAATCTGCTTGCGTATTAAATAAGTATAGATACTCATAAGGTTAACATGGGGAATTACAGAGCCACAGGGGCGGAGCCGGAAAGGATTTTTGAGATAAGAATATGCCTATATGTTAATCGGGAATGTGAGCTATCATCATGCAAAATCTCAGACCAATCCGTCCAGTAGTTAATGCGTGATTGAACTTCAAACAAACACACAAACTTTCACATTTATAATTAGTAATTAGTAGTATAATTAGTAAGATTTTAATTAAATTTGCAAATTTGTTTATTTTATACTACACTATCATCATTTCCTTCCCTGTAGCAGCAAACCTAAATAGTTACTCATCTAGGCTAAATAAAGCTAAGAAGAATCTGAACTTTTGAGAAAACCATAAGCCACACCTATAAACTGCATACTTGAATGAAAGGTCTTGCTGAAAGGTGATACTTCCCCGTAGATCACACACAAGAAAAGAGAATCTAATTTAAGCGTAATAATACTAATTAAGGTTATCCCTGAAGTAATAATTTGACGGATCACTCTTAACATGTGTTTCCCAATCACAAATTAAATTTAGTAATTTATTTGTTTATGCTAGAACTAAA